GCTAGTAGGGTGGAGTCCATCGCAAGTAGGGTGGAGGCCACCGCTAGTAGGGTGGAGGAGGCCATCGCTAGTAGGGTGGAGGCCGTTGCTAGTAGGGTACCATTGCTCATCTTCTTGCTTTTTGATCACTCTGCTTCCCTTTTGTCGCCCCTTCAGACATCTTGAGACCAATGCTGCCGAGTTACACTTGCCAACCTCAAACGCAACATGGCAGCCGAACCAAATAGTGCAAACCAAAATGACAACACCAGGGAAGCGAACGGAAGATTTCTCTACCTTTGCTCCTAGTAGCTTCTTGTTACTACTAGTAAGGCACTTGTTACTAGTAGCGATGCACTTGTTCCTAGTAGCTTCTTGCCCCTAGTTGTATGGCCAGGAGCCCCAACGGAGCTTCTTGTTACTAGCTAAAGAGACATTGAACATTCAACAACGAGAGGACCCAATACGCACAGTTTTGCGCCTTTACTTAGCTCGGCGCGACTTGGAGTTCAGGTTTAACCCGACGGTTTAGTTCAAGTGACATTCGATCGCGCGAAACGACGTACCAAGAAACCATTTCGGACTAAAGCAATGGGAGCCCCGTGCTTTGCACAACTGGGCTTGACGATGTCTTGGACAACGTGCCACCTGGAGTTGGGATCAATCTGCAAAGTCAACTCTGCTTTGGTCAAAATGGGCAAGTTCATGTGGCGTTTACAGCGTTCATGGCATTCAACATCAAATGCGCAGCAAAGGGGCATGCTTTTCTTTCGAAAATCCGCTCCAAACTTCTCTTTGGCATCCTTCTCGATGCTTTCCTGGGGCGGAGCCAGGAGAATTTTGCATGTTTTCCATGAAACGGAGCCTGAAACCTTCTCTGCTCTGTCCCTGTCTCGCATACATAGGCATGGGTCATAGGCGGTGATTCAGGGTCTTGGGGCTGAATAAAATATCACAAAGCCATCACACATATTTCACCCCTTCTTGCAATTATTTGAAGAATCTGATCAAACTTTTGTTGGCAAAAGGATTGCCCTGCATTGCCGGCAAGTACCCACATTACCCAGTTCCTTTCTTGATGGCTCTCCAAGGTGCCAAGGCATTCCAAGAGATGCCCCACTGCGCAGGATCACGCAAGTACGAATAGAGCGCAGCCCGTTCAGTTGCTCCAAATTGACTGTCATGCCTGTCGACTGTCGTGTCATGCGGCGACGTCACGACGCGTCAAGCGTATGTGATGCGTCGAGCGTATGTGAGCTTCATGTTTTTCGAGACTGATGGGCCAATGGGCTGGCTGACAGAGCAGGTTGGAGGCCATCCTTATTGGGTTGGAGGGCATTGCTTCTAACAACAATGGCCTCCAACCCAAGAGCAATAGCCTCCAACCTACTCATGTGCATCACTCATGGACAGGCCTGGCTAAGAATGGCCAGGTACTTTTCAGCTGACGCCACTGAGAGTCCACCAACACGCTGGGAGGCGTCCTCTCTGCCTCAGGCCGATGCGGGGGGCCCAAGGCGGACCCGAATTGAAATCACTTGAGGAACCTGAAAGCAGCTCTCCAAGTAACAAGGACGCTACGAACGTAACAAAGGGCATCGCTATGAACGGAGCATCCTTACTAGTAACAAGAAGCTAGTGCATCTACGGCACATTGAAGAATCCATCAAAGTGAGATGTCTGGACTAAACGTGTGGTCCCTTTCGGCCGGAACTTGGTGAGCCTGCTCCTTAGATCTGGAAAGGATTTGGAAAACAAGGTTCACTCGAGAACAGTCATGGCGTGTCGAACACAGCGAAACTGAAGTTGCTCCCAAAACACAAGCGTTCTGAAAAGTGCACAAACACTTCGTGCGGCTTGGGACTCTTGGAGACCATCCCTATTAGTCAGGTTGGATGCCATCCCTATTAGGATAATTAGGTTGGAGGCCATCCCTACTAGGTTGGATATTAGGTTGGAGGCAATGTTCCTCTTGCTATTAGGTGGGAGGCCATTGCTTCTGATAGCACTTGGTGCGGCTTGGGACTCTTCCGTGCATTCTCGACCTCCAGCTTGGGTATTCGCATATCCCGTGCCTTCTCAAGTGCCTTGTGGCAGAGTTGCACTTCATACCGGATCTCCTTCATGAAATCTAGACGCAAGTGCTCCACCAAGTTCGTGATGGTGTGCAGCACCAGCCAGGCACCAGTGGGATGATCAGAATGCAAATCGACTTGAATAAGATCAGATTCCAAATGGGCGATGATGCAACATTCATGCCCTTCAAAGGACATTACGGCACGTGAGGCAAACAATTGCAGCTCTTGCTTGCGCCCACTGGATTTCTGCACGGCGTAGCAGATCAAACGTCTGAACAAACTATCCGGCAAAAAGGATGGTTGGAAGTTCAAGAAGAAAGTGCAATGTGCTGAGGCTTTGATTGGTCCAGACTCATCTGGTAACAGGCATGGAACTAGGAATGTGTCAGGCTCGACCTCACAAAGCAACGCCACTTCTTCCATGAAGCGCAATAAAAACTCTTTGAGGGCTGGCTCTTGAAAGCCAAATTCCCACAATCGATCCAGCAATCGCCGGGTAACGATGCCCTTCTCACGCCAGGCGTCATAGGTTGATTTCATCTCAAGCTTGATCTGCTTGTGGTGTTCTTGTTCATGTAGGCTCCAATCAAAAATCACCTGACAAATGCCGCTCACAAGCCACTGAGGCTGTAGAATCACAATTTCTCGAAGCTCTATAGGCGTGGAGAAATGGAAAAGCACTCCCAGCTCATGAAACATCTCCAACATTGGCATCAACTGCCAGGCTGGCAAACACTGTTCTTCCGCCAGGACCTTCATCTCCTGCATGGTTAGGAAAGACTCCTTCCGCGAGAGTAGCAGATCCAAAAGGCCACGCCAGCGAACGGGTATTGGTCTTTCCAAGTATTCTTCCGGATCTTCTTTGGCACATGCCTCGATCGCGTGACGCAGTTCAACCACCACTGGATCGACCGAATGTCCACTGATGGAGTTGTCGATGGGGTAAAACCACAATCCCTCACCTTCCTCTCGGGCAAAAGGTGTCACCTGCTCTTTCAAGCGATCGCCTAAGATCTCCAACAGTACCTCACTGATCTCGTGGTGCTCTCTGTCCTTTATGACTTGGTCCTTGTGTGTCCCAACAAGAAGGATAGGAGCGCCCTTCGCATGCAAGGCCAATGAATTCAACCAGTACCGCACCATCTCCACCGTGCCTTTTGCATCTTTCAGCAGTGCAGTCATCTTGAACACCACCAAATACACGCTGTACCGACTAAGAAACAAATGGTGCAGGTTGTGAAAGACTGACTGGCCACCAAAATCCCAAGTAGAGAACGTAATCGACCTTGCGCCATCCTCTTTGAGACCGAGAGATGTCATCTGATCCAATCTGGTTGCCACATCTTCAACCGGCAGCCGTCTGACCATTGCTGTTGACAATTTGCGTTGAGGCTTCCTTCGGAGCACCGAATCGGCCGAACAAACAGCTAACAAAATCAGCGAGACTTGGCCTGCCGCTCTCTGATGCAAAGGCTAGACTTGTTCGTCAACACTGTGACAGTCTATTGCAGTCTGTACTGGTCTCTGCTTTCCTATTTCCAGCTAAGAATCGCCCTCGTCACATCCTTTTGCACGCCTGAGGCATCTGTCTCAGCTTTCGCATCTTTCTCAGCCTTCGTGGTCCGTGTTTCCAGCAGCTGTTTAATGAGGCCCTCCGTTTCAGACACATGCTCCGATTCCAGCCAGTCCTTTGCATCACCTCAGCGTGCGCAAACTGTTGGGCAGGATTGAACCAAAGCTTGCATGAACAGCTCTTGAACTGTTGGTTTTGCGAGTTTGGGGGAACTAGACTAACTAGACTCTTGACTAGGCAGTCTGTTCTTTGGCGCACAAAGGGGCGGTCTATCTGGTCTGCATGCTTTGCCAGCGTTAAGTCCTCTCCTAAAAGCGAGCAGTCTTCATTCTTCCACCAAATTCGCTGATACTCGCGCCACGATTCGAAGAATCAGGTGAGACCAGCAATAAACAAAAGCGGTTACAACCTTCCTTTTCAACCTACAGGCCTTTCAACTTGATTATTGTACGGGATTTATCTTGATGTATCTAGAACCTATGATTTCATATATGTATATCTTTATATTTTACTTATTAATTTATGTTCAATTGTTGCCTGGTTATGATTGCTGTCTTTGAGTGCCAAGTGGCTGCGATGAATCTCACAGCTTGAAGTCTCGACACCCAAGGTTGACGTCCTTAAAGCGAAATAAAGAATCCCATCACCAAGTTCTGTTATCCGACCTCCCCCTAATAGCAATGGCCCCCAACACCTAACAGCGATGGCCTCCAAC